TCTAAGCTTTGGTAAGGATATAGACACTGCAATAACTTTCAACATGTGGAGGAGAAAAACAAATACATATCCTTCATCTACGTCTGTGACAATGTCTTGGGCTATTACAATACACCAAGATTTACAGTAAACGTAAAATGAGAAAGTTCAGCAAATCGGTGTCTGTTTCTTTCTTCATTTTTTTTTTTTTTTAAATGTTCATGAGAGGGCGGGGGAGAGAAGCAGGCTCCAGGCTCCAAGCTGTTAGCACAGAACCCAACTTGGGGCTCAAACCCATGAACCACGAGATCATGACCTGAGCCAAAGTCTGACACTTAACCAACTGAGCCACCCAGGTGCCCCTACATTTCATTTCTGATGTGTTTGTTTAATAACTTGAACTTTCTGAAGTGTAGGTATTTGTTGTAAAGGTAAAACCACACCAGAGGTAATAATTGCCTTTTTAATTATCAAAAAGTGAAGTTATCGCCAAAGCAGATTAACAGTGAGCACATATGTAATTTTCCAAACTACTGAAGATTAGCAAACTCTCTTGTATCATTCATTCAAACTCATATGCTCATTTTAAAAGTTTTTTCTAGCTCCTACTGACTTCACCAGCTTTCCCTAGTTTTCTATTACTGAAACTCCTAAAGCCATTGCTGCTTAAGCTACCATTAATTTTGAGTATTATAGGATGTTTAAGCATAGGAAAATTATCCAGAAAATGTGGGAGATAAGGCTGAATCTTAATATTTATGAAATCCTAATGAAATCTTAATATTAGAATTTACAGGTTTACAATAGAGCAGCTGATTTCCAGTTTTATACTAAGCTATTTCTTTTTCCCAAAAAATAAGTACAGAAATAATACATTTTTTAAAAAATACTGAAAGCTAAATGTCTAAGAGTAGAACCAATGACTTTACATCTCATGAGAGGTTTCATGTCTAGGACAAGAAAATTATAAAATAACTAACTTTGATATACTTAGTGTAACATATATTGGTTATATGGCTAAACATGAAAAGGACCACATATTTTAGAAAATAATTTGTTTCAGATAAATATGAGACATATTTGAAAGATCCTTTTGCATTCTTATAGTGAGAAAGTTAAAAACCTATAATAATGTTATAAAAATAGAATAATGAACAGCCATACACTCTTGATTTAGATTCCCTAATTGGTAATATTTTGCCTATTTGCTTTCTCTCTTTCTCTACCAGTATATTTGTATGCATTTTTTTCTGAGTCATTGGAAAATGAATTGCAGACGTCCTGATTCTTCACCACAGTTGCTCCTAAGAAAAAAGGACAATCTCCCACATTTCTACAATAAAATTAACATAATAAGGAAAAGTAACATCACTATAACTGTCTCATATAAATTATTTTAAAGTTCCCCCAAAATGTCCCAATTCTGTTCATTTGAGTTGCTGTTTTTTGGTTGTTTTTTGTTTTGGGTTTGTATTGTTTTGTTTTGTTTTAGAGTAGTTGCTTTTAATTCAATTTCCAATTAAAGATCCAATGTAACATGGGATTGTTAATCTCTAGTTCCTTTAATACCACCTTTTTTTTGGTTTTCACATGGACATTTTTGAAGACTTTAGGTCAGTTGTTTTGCAGAACATCCCTTCATTTGGATTTATCTGATTGTTTCCTTAGGATTAGACTCTAGTCAGATACTTTTTGGAAAGATCCCACATAGATGAAGTTGTGTCCCCAATGCTTCAAGGGGGTGCACGGTGTCAGCTTGTCCCATTATTGGTGATGTTAAGCTTAGTCATTTGGTTAAGGTGGTAATATTCCCAAGATTTCTCTTTTGTATGGGTATGTTTTCCTCTTCATGATACTCTGAGACTATGTAAATGTCCTTACATATATTTACAGGTTCTTATATATGTAAACTGTTTAACCAAGGGTTTTAGGATTCATCCATTTTAGTGACATCTCTAATTAGCAAAAACTTAAGTAAATTTGGAGGGACTGGCTGCTGGTGACTTGAATGGTATCGAGTGGAAAATTGTGATACTTAGTAATAGTATCTAAACTTTTCTTAATAAATACATGGAAGGTGAATTGAACAGAACTTTCCTTCTCTTATTGAAGGACACCATATCCCTAATCAATAGTTCCACAGGCCAAGAATTTTCTCTGCATTTGAACTATTAGAAAGTTTTAATGAAAAACCCCACTACTTTCAAAGATCTGTTTCTTGCCTCTAGCCCTGTATCTCACATTTAGGCATAATTCACTTTACATTCTGTTCTCTAGTTTTTATTTTCTTCATTACAAAATGCACAGTTGACTGGCTGAACTTAAGCTCATTGAGCATCAACTTGAGATAAAATATGTTGATTTTGACTCCCCTAAACAATTCCATTTTGGCAAAATTCAATTTTATCATCCGTAGTATTGTTGCAGGATTCTACTTCAATACCCAGGATCTGTTGTCTCCCCACTTCAAACAATGAAGAGGTGGACACAGAATAATGAGCAGCAGGCAGAAGTTTCTTAAAGTATAAGATCAGAAAGGAAGAATGGTATGAAAGCTCTCTTTACAGAGAGGGTGCATTGGAAAGTGAATGCCTGAAACTATAGGCAAGGAAGTCTGTTTTATAGGATTTTGGTCGACCCCTTTTCTTTCCCCTTGCTCCTTCTCAGGCTCTACCCTTATTGACTAGGTGACTCTAAATGTCTGGTCATTCCTTTTTGTTTGGCTCGTTTCCTTGTTATGAGGGGCCGTCTATGGCCATACTGTTCCTTGTGGGTCCCATATTTTATGGACTACTTATTTTTAGTCATGTTTTTTGTTTGTCAAATTCCTGAGGGAAACCTGAGGGGAAGTAGGTAATGGCTGTCACATACTTAAGAGGAACTTTACACCTGAGGGAGTTTGCTCAGAGGTTAGAAGTTCCCAGAAGAAATGTTTTAAAACTTGTATTTTTCCCCACCCAGGGACCTTTAAATCCTAGCCATTCTCTTCCTGCCTGAGTCCTATCTTGCCTTACCATAGTATTGCTTAATGCCACAAATAATTATTAAGTACCTCCTGTGTGCCAGGCACTATACCCGCAGAGCGGTATTTTAATTTATCTATTTGCTATTCGTTTTAATTTTTTTTAATGTTTATTTTTTGAGAGAGAGACAGACAGACAGATGTGAGCAGGGAGGAGCAGAGAGATAGGGAGACACAGAACCTGAAGCAGGCTCCAGTCTCTGGGCTGTCAGCACAGAGCCCAACACGGGCTTGAACCTGCAAACCGTGAGATCATGACCTGAGCCGAAGTCGGACACTCAACCGACTGAGCCACCCAGGTGCCCTGTTACTCGTTTTAAATAAATGTTAACACTGAATTCAGTAATAAATCTGAGCAACAGCACAGTACCTTTTGTCCAACGAGAGGACATTGCTAAAGCAGAACTCGTGATTGCCAGGTGGTACAAAATGCCAGCGCTCCAATCTCTCAGTCTTGAGCAAGGCCATACAAATCCAAATTCATCATAGCAATTTAGAAATGTCAGTATGCAATATGAGGGGGTATGGGTTGCATGAAAGTCTGTGTAAGTACTAATAAAGGCCTTTGTGCCTGACACTGATGGTCACCTCCCTAACAGCCTTTTCCAGCTTTCATCCTTACGGGCAGAGCCCAAATTTCCAAGATAGAAATCAAAAAAGACAGACAGATATGTTTTTCCAGCCACTTTTGCAGTTACATCATGGGCATATGACTCAATTCTGACTGATGAAACAGGAGAGAAAGATGTTCCTTCTTGATAAAGACATGATAAATACTCACCTTCTTTTGAACATGGTTTTGTGCAGACATGATGCCTACAGCTGTAACAACTAAAAGCCTGGGTGCTTGATGACATGGTAATTCTCGGAGGCTTCCGGTTACGTGAAACAATAAAAACCTATTGTTTAAGCCATTTTAAGTCAAGTCTCCTGTTATTTGCAGCCTAAACCATCCCAACCAATAATTAGCCCTAAAAGAAAAAAGAAGCCTTGAACACAGAAACTATAATGGCCAAAATAAAAAAATACTAAAACTGAGTTACTAGCTGTCACACCCAAATCAAGTTTGAATGCCCCAAGGTTTCCGTTATATGTAATAAAATAACTTCTATGCATCTAGAATGGTACTAGCTCTGTATCATCCTTGAGAAAATTTAAAAAATCACTCAAATCATTTCCTGTTGGAACCCTGCTTGAGAAAAAGTAAACATCTAGTACTAGCACATTACCTCACCTCTCCACCGACCTGAACCCACTTTATCTCACACACACTTCCTCCTCTGCAGAAAAAAGCAAATAAGCAAAGTCACTTGTGGTCCACAAGAGTCCTCAAAGGAGGTGATTCTCCTTCTAAGGTGTCAGAAGGTCAACAGTCTAGTTGACAAGGCTATGTCACAATACCTAGTCCTTTAGCTCATTTCACCACATCAGGCAGACATTTTATCACCTCACATCATCCCAAGATATTTTGAGAGATAAAGACCACAATCAGATAACTTTTATTACAGTATGTTAGGTGTGCTATTGTTGTTAATCTCTTACTGTGTCTAAATTATAAACTAAACTTTATCCTAGGTATGTACATAAGGGGAAAAAAACATAGTATATATATAGGACCTGGTACTACTTAGTCTCAGGCATCCCCTAGGGATCTTGGACCATGGGGGGAGGGGACTACTGTATTGAGGTTTGCACTAGAAAAAGAACACGGTTTGATATTAGAACAGATGGACAGATGTGATATAGCAACTATGGCAAAATGGTAACAACTGTGTTCACTGTAGAAATGTTTCCACTTTTCTGTATGTTCAAAGGTTTTCATAATCAAAAGTATAGACTTAATAAACAACTTGCTAGAAGGCAACCCAGGAGTCTGAAAGCAGTAATCCCCGAGGGTTCACAGAAAGCCTCAAGGCAGCCCACCTGAGCTTCCCAGGCGCAGGAACCTGGCCCACCCCAGAGCCCTGGCGCTGCGCTCGGCCCGGGTGCCCTGCTCGCCCGGTCTCAGTCCGCTCTCAGCACACACTCCATCACCTGGTTCCTAGAACTCAGATTGCGCAGTGGTCACGTCATCATCGACCAGGGCTCACAGTTACAGCGGCAGAGGCCTCCCTAAAGCTCCCTCATTTCCAGCCTCCCCGCTGCCCCTAATCTCCCGGCGCCGGTCCCCAGCCCCACTTCGCCACACATATTTTGATAATCTTCTCAGGCTCCGAGCTGGCGGCGTCGCCAGCAATGGGACCTGATCATATAAGGAAAATACCGCGAGCTCATCGGGGGCTATACGGGGAACTCGGGGGCGCCCCTGCCCTAAGACACTCACTACACTCCCTCGGACGCCCACCTCCCCCCACCCGGCCACCCGGCCACCCGGCCACCCGGCCACCCGGCCACACCCAGCCTCCCGGTCCCGGGCGCCTCTTAGGCCCGGAGGCCTAGGGCTCCATCAGTCCGCGCAGCCGCAGCCCACAGAGGCTCAGCCAATCCGCTCGCGCCGTCCTCTGCGCCCCGCCCACCCAATTTCCAGCCAACGCCCCGCCTTCCTCTGGCGCCTTCCACACTGTGGCTGTCTCGGCGTTGGGGTACCTGGTTCGGTGATGATGGAGACTGGAGACGTGCTGGGGGCTGAAGGGGGACATTAATTACAGGGACGAGTAGAGAGGTCATGGGTAGGATGGCATCATTCTCTCGCTTTAGAGGTAAAAAGCGAGAATGTGAGAGAAAGATGCGCGGGCACGGAACGCTCTCTTCTGCAAGGCGCGGCTGCTGGCAGAGTCATGGTTCCCACACGAAGGCGCCAAGAGAGTGGCATGTTGCCCAAAGGGAGATAAGCTCCGGCCCGCCCTGGGAAGCCGCAGACCCGCGGCCAGGCACGGGATGTGGGTGAAAGGGCAGGGGCGTGGCTTCGCCGGACCCCGCCCCCGGACTCTTAAGGCAGGGATGTGAGCGGGCGCCCCTCTGCGTCGCTGGAGCGGGAGCTCTGCGCCGGAACTCGCTCGCCGCCATGGCCTTGCTCCGAGGTGAGCGCCGCTGGGGTCTCATCGGTCGCAAGGGGTTTTGATGAAAGCCCAAGCGGAAAGGATTGGTCGGGTCGAGGAGAAAACATATTTGTAAGGCGCTAGCGACAGCAGGGCAGTTTCCAGCTGAGGGTTGAGAGCAAGGTTTGCTAGCTTCTGATCTTGAAGGTCATTACCCTTCTTCCTGTAGTCCCCGTCCCCTCTTTTTTTTTAAAAAAAAAAAAAAGCTGTTAGGAGAACTGGGGCGGTGCCTTAAGGACCCCGAGGTGTAGGGCGGAGGCTTGCATCGCAGAGCCGCAGCCTCTGACTTGTCCCGGATAGGGGAAAGCTTGTGTGGGAGGAATTGATGGTCTCCTAGGGTCTTCTGCCCCAGTGACCTGCGCCACCAAATGTGTGGTGGCTGTTGGAAGACCAGCTTGTTCCCTTTCCCTTCCAGTACTTTAGATTGACTGACTCCAGGAAAGTGCAGTCACTAAGTACATAAATACTAGGGTTATTAACTTAAATTTAAAAATTACGTAAACTGCCTCCTTATAACAAATGGCCACAGTCAATGGAATTTTAACTTTTAAGAAAGAAGAAGAACCAAAACCCCCAGTGTTTCTATTAACTCACAGCCCAGTGGTAGGTGGTTGCACCCGACTAAGGGTTCTCTTACTGCTATTTGACTTTGTTGGGGGTGCTTGTGTATCCCTTCAAGGCACCTACGTGTGGCTGCCAAATTACTTAATCCAGAAACAAGTGGGTGCTTTTATCAGCAGTTTTTCTCAGTTTGTCCTGATTGCTGCCTGTAGCGGTTCTAATTAAATGGGTTAATATTTCCCCAGCAGTGTGATGGAAGGGAAAGTGGCGTTAATGCTCTGTGTTCTAGTGGCTTCCCCCCTGCCCACCCTTTGCGGCTGTGTCTGCGCACCTTGCAAGCCCCTTGGCAGCCTCTGACCTTTTTACTATCTCCGTCGTTTTTTGCCTTTGCCAGATGTTATGTAGTTGGAATCCTACATTATGTGGCTCTTTTAGATGGGCTTCTTTCACTTTCCGGTGTGCATTGAAGTTTCCTCCACGTGTTTTCATAATGATTTGATAGCTCATTTATTTTTATTGCTGAATAATATTCTGTTGTATGGATGTGCCCCATCTATTCACCTACCGAACCGCATTTTGGTTTCTTACAAGTTTGGGCAGTTACGAAGAAAGCTGCTATAAACATTCATATGCAGGTGTTTGTGTGGACATAAGTCTTCAGCTCATTTGTATAAATACAGAGGAACAATGATGGCTGGATAATATCGGTAGAGTGTGTTTTGTTTTATAGGAAGCAACCACACTGCCTTCCATAGTGCCTGTATTTTGAATCTGGCAGCAACGAAAGAATTTCTCTTTTCCTACATCCTCACCAGCATTTGGTGGTGTTAGTGTTTTGGATGTTGTTAGCCATTCTAATAGTTGTATAACAGTATCATTGTTATTCTAATTTGTATGTCCCTAATGACATATGATGTTGCGCACATTTTCATCGGGCTATATGCCATCTTTATATCATCTTTGGTGAGGTGTCTGTAAGGGTTTTTTACCCACTTTTTAATTGGGTTGTTGGTTTTCCTATTGTTGCATTTTAAGACTTATTTGTGTGTTTTGGATACCAGTCCTTTATTAGGGAGGTGTGTTGTAAATATTCACTCCCAGTTTGTAGCTTGTTCTTTTCATTTTTCTTTAATGTGTCTTTCGCAGAGCAGTTTTTTATTTAGCGACGTTCAGCTTAACCACATTCTTCTTTCATGAATCAGACTTTTGGTGTTGTATTTAAAAAGTTATTGGGGCACCTGGGTGGCTCACTCTGTTAAGCCTCTGACACTTTATTTCGGATCAAGTCATGATGTCATGATTTGTGAGATCACGTCCCTTTTGGAGCCCGGAGTCAAGCTTTGCGCTCCAGCACGGAGCTTGCTTGAGATTCTCTCTCTCCCTGTCTCTCTGTCCCTGTCCCAAGGGCATGCTTGCACGTCATGTGCACATGTACTCTCGCAGTCTCAAAATAAATAATTAACATTAAAAAAAAGTTACACCAAGCCTAGGGGCACCTAGATTTTATCCTGTAATATCTTTTAGAGGTTTTATAGTTCTGCATTTTACATTTAAGTCTATGATCCATTCTTAAAAATATTTATTCATTTTGAGAGAGAGCGTGTGCATACATGCGCGCAAGCAGGGGAGGGGACTCAGAGCCCTACGCAGGGCTCCATCCCTTGAACCCTGAGATCATGACCTGTGCCAAAACCAAGACATGGAGGCTTAACAGACTAAGTCACCCAGGCGCCCCAAGTCTGTGATCCATTTTGAGTTAATTTTTGTGAAAAGGTTAAGGCTGTGTCTGGTTTTGTTTTGTTTTTTTTGCATGTGGGTGTCCAGTTCTTCCAGCACCATTGCTGAAAAGACTACCCTTATTCCATTGAATTGCCTTTGTTCCTTAATCAGACTTTGAGGTTCTGACTGTTAGTTGTTTTTCCTGTTCTTCAGGTTGGATAATTTGTATTTATCTATCTTCAAAGTCACTGAATCTTTCTCCTTTCCTTTTTATTATTATTGTTATTATTTTTAATGTTCATTTATTTCTGAGAGAGAAAGAGACTGAGTGCCAGCAAGGGAGGGTCAGAGAGGGAGGGAAACACAGAATCTGAAGCAGGCTCCAGGCTCTGAGCTGTCAGCACAGAGCCCAATGCTGGATGGGCTTGAACTCACACACTTTGAGATCATGACCTAAGCCGAAATCGGACACTTCACCAACTGAGCCGCCTAGGTGTCCCTGAATCCTTCTCCTTTCATTTCCATTCTTCTGTCAAGCCCATTCAGTGGATTTTTTAAATTTATTTTTCAGTTTTAGAGTTTCCATTTTGATTTTTTTATAGTTTTTTGTTTTTTTGCTTTTTGTTTTTTTGCTGAGATGGCCTATTCTTTATTATGAGCATATTTTCCTTTATAACCTTGAGCACAGTTATGATAGCTGTTTTAAAATCCTTGTCTGTTGGGGCGCCTAGGTGGCTCAGTCGGTTAAGCGTCTGACTTCGGCTCAGGTCATGATCTCACAGTTCGTGGATTCGAGCCCCGTGTCAGGCTCTGTGCTGACTGCCAGCTCAGAACCTGGATCTGTATCTCCCTCTCTCTCTGACCCTCCCCTGCTCACACTGTGTGTGTGTGTCTCTCTCTCTCTCAGAAATAAATAAAAAATATTAAAAAACAAAAACAAACAAACCCCCAAAAAATAAAATCCTTGTCTGTTAATTCTAACATTTGGGTCATCTTGGGGTTGGTCTCTGTTGATTATCTTTTCTCTTGAGAATGAATCATATTTTCTCATTTCTTCATATGTCTATTAATTTTGGATTGTAGCATGGACATTTCATATGAAACATTATAGAGGCTGAATACTATTATATTCTTCCCAAATGTGTTGACTTATTGATTGTTTGGTTGGCTCTTTATTTTTGCAGGAAGTTGATTTGGCTGAACTCAAACAGCAAAGTCTATCTCCCCTATAGAGGGCAATAGCTCAAATCTCAGTTCAGTTAGCCTTAGCTAAGGTATAGAGGCACAGTTAAAGGGTCAGACAGGTAATTAGGCAGAGTTTGTATATATGATTTGGGCTCCCCCTGTGGTCCTCTCCTTTCCTAGATTCATTCTCATTTACCAGTGGCTGTGGTCGCCATGAACTCGGTTCTCTGAATCGTCAAACCAGTGAGATTGTGAGTTTCTGAGCTCTAGCCATTCACATTCAAGTCAGAAGCTATAAACAGGTTGAACACTCACTCTGTACTGTTCCTTTCTTCCATGTCTTCTCCACATCTGCCCAGTTTTGTTCATTCTCCAAGACCTTCAAGTAGTCATTCTTCTATATTGCCACTGTTACTTGCAGGAGAGTTGTTTGGATAGCATACTAGGCCATGACCACACGCAGGCTGTAATGAAATTAGGAAGAAGACATGGGAAGGGGGCAGAAAAGTGAAATAAAACACCAATATAAAAATAGGTAAGAGGGGTGCCTGGTTGGCTCATTTGTTTAAACATCCGACTCTTGGTTTTGGCTCAGGTCATGATCTCACAGTTCTGAGATCGAGCCTTACATTGGGCTCTGCTTGGAGCCTGCTTGGGATTCTTTCTCTCTCTCCCTCTGCCTTTCCCCTACTTGGGCTTGCTTGTGCTCTCTGTCTCTAAAAAAATAAAAAATAGGTAGAGGTTATTAAGCAACAGGGATTAGAAGACATTTGCAAAAATTCCAGAAGATATAGTGGCACAGAGTAATCTGTCTATCAGAACAAAATATTTGTCATGCCCTGAACTAATATTTATGGTCTTCTAAATATTTGAATATTCCATCTGTAAAGAACTACTTGGACCTGTTCTAAATTATAATTACATACGTTACTCCTAACCTTCTTTTGGGCTGTGGGTTTCTCAAAGTAGCAATGAAAAGAGAAGGCGAAGGGTTTTTTTAGGGTAGGTTTAGTTCCATGGAAGGATGTCATCATAAACAGGAGCCCTGTACTTAAATACCACGAAGGGTGTAATGTTTGTAGCGTCTCGGTTAAAGGTTAATCTTGCCCCAAGCCCATTGTTAAAAGCCTCATAATTTCTTGGCAAGATGTGAGCACAGTTTGTGCCAAACATGAGATCTGTCACATAGTAAGTGCCACTTGTATGTACCTCTGTAATATTTACCTTGTAAGATTACCTTGTAAGATTGTTGGGAAGATAAGGTAGTAAATGAAAAGTGATCAAGTGTCTAGTGCTTAGTCAGTGCCTAATCAGTGTTAGTGTGATGAAACTATTATAATGGATGCTGCTTCCCGATGTACAAGTTTTGCATCAC